GGTCGTCCTTCAGCTCGTCTAGAAAGGCACAGCCTGGCGAGGGGGTGGGTGAGGGGATTACACCAAAAAAATGGGGGTTGAGAAAAAGGATTTGAGCTGGGAGATGGGAAGAAAAAGAGGCGAGATGCTTCAAAGAGGAAATGAAGAAGGGAAGAAATCTGAGCAGAGTGAGAGGAAGAGAAATCGAGAGGGAGGGAGAAATGGATGAATGTAAAGAGAGGAGTGGGAAGTGTAGGAACAGGTTCAGTGGGTTCATTACTCTTCCAGAAGCCAACATGCATAACGCAGTTCGAGGATAATGCTGTGGGCTCTTATGCCTCCATTAGAACGCCATTGTCTTACCGCTGCATATGAACATTTGCATAAAATACTGACAAAATGTTACAACAAGTGCAGAAAATGTACGTTTTTGCTTTCTTTTGCTGTAGCAGTCATTTTATACTGCACATGTGTGTTTCTAAATCTGTTCTCTAAAAAAGATGATTAGAGATAAATGGGCACAGAAGATGTAGCCGCAGTATCCAATATTAACAAGTGCCAAATCTAAGTACTGTTGATTTAGGTAAATAAAAGGTTGGCCATTTTATAGGGAATTGCATGGTCTAAACTGAATTGTGACAATTGAACTTGACATGTAATTCCCATCTGCTAAAGAAAAATCATCACATATCCTTTAACAAAATGTTCCTCAAAGTTCACCATCTAGCAGTGAATTTTTTAAATTTGTTTTTATTTTTGTATTTTGCGATTTTCATGATGCTGTGAATGACATAATGACCTATGCTGTTTGTCTCAAATAAGGAAAAAAAACCCAGCTAAACTCTCTCTCTCTCTCTCACTCTCACTCTCTCTCTCTCTCTCTCTCTCTCTCTCTATATATATATATATATATATGCTAAAGACAGTTCCTTTTTATTTTAATTTATTATTTTATTTATTTATTTTTACTTTTTCTTATCTTTTCTTTAGTTAATTGGACTAAAATTAGGTTAGGTATATTAGGCATATATGGGTTTTATGTTGTGCTTGTAAACTAATCCATGGCATTATTTATGTAGTTCACAGACAACGAAAGTGTTTTACTACCTTTCAACTTGGGCCTATGTTTAATTTGGGGTGTATGCAGCGCTGTCGTCAGTGAGGGACTCCCGGGAACATTGTGACAAGCGGGCTACTAAATGCATTTTTACAATGCCGAGAGTATAGGCGTGAATTGAAGCGACAGCCCTGGGTGTATGGGCAATGGCACGGCTTTGGTTCTCCATATCTGAGCTCTGATAATGTTCCTACCCCTCTGCCGTCTTGCCTGGTAATGAAAATAACCCCACAGGTTAGTCCTTTATTACTTTTTTAATATCAAAGCAATATAGATTTACTGGAGATAACGTAGAGGACGGCCCCCCATAAGACTGAAGCAGAGATTATTAAGCAGACTTCTTTGGTAATAAATTAATGATGGGAGATATGGAATTAGGACCTCTGTTTTTCAGTTTTGGGGTTCTAGTCACAGCTGGTTCATGTTCTGGGATTCATTTGCTCACAGTCCAAATATAGACTATAGACAAAGTTATAAAAAGCTTGACAATAATCGAGTTTTCTGGATTCAAATTAATATAAACAAACATATGGAGAAAAAACCCCAGATGAATTTAATTTGAGTAATTTTCACAAAAATGAGTGATTTAAAATATATACAGCACCATTTGAAAAATTTGGAACAACTTTTTAATGTTTTTGAAAAAAGGCTGTATTTATTTGATAAAAAATTCAGTTTACATAATTTATATTGTGTATTTATAGTATTATTGTGAAATATTAGAATGATTTAAAAAATGTTTTCTATTTTGATATATTTTTAAGAAACATTTCTTTTTATTATAAATGCTGAAAACACTTATGCTGCTTAATATTTTAATGGAAACCATGATACATTTTACATATTAGGATTCTTTGATGAATAGAAAATTGAAAAGAACATTTATTTGAAAAATAATTTTTTTTGTAACAATGAAAAAGTTTTTACTGTCGCTTTTGATCAATTTAATGTGTTGTTTCTGAATAAAACTATCAGTTTCTTTAAAAATGTATATTGTTGATATAATTTCTTTATTTACTGACTCGTTGCAAACCACAAACAAGGTGCTAAATGTTAAAAAATTGTACTGCAGCACAGTCAGTGTCATTTTTTTAAGTGCAAACACAACCTAACATTCACCATCAGTATTCACACGTTTTGCGTTTTTGTGCCATTTTCTTTCTAGTATCATTTTTAGTGAATTGGGCTCTAAAGCAATGCAGACTTATTTCCAATGAGTGGAAATAAACAACACTATCAGCTGGTGCAGTGAATTCCCCCATTGTGTTTTTAACTTCTTCAACAAGCCTAATTGCAATTGCAAGTAATTGTCTGAATACTTTCATAAAACTTCAATGGCTTCTGTAGGACAAGACTCCCCCATAATAAAAAAAAACACCTTGCAGTTTTGTTCAGTGCTTGTTGTTTTAAAGACATTGAAAAAGAAAAAGCATCAGCAATTCTCATTTTAATCTCTGTCTGACCCACTTCATGCCTTCCTTTTCGAATGCTACTAATGGCTGGCTGTTGTTTGAATCCAGCCTTAAAGAGAGCATAATCATCAGGCGGAGTACTGTAGGTAATGTATTGTGCTTGTGTTTGTTTGATGCTCCTCTATGCTTCTCCTCCATGCTTGCTAACCCGCAGTGAGTCATTTCAAAGTAATTTCTTGTTGTTATGAGTCTGTCTAAGAGAAGGAGAGCTTCCTCTAGAAGTATTTTCATGGTTTCCTTCTTCGGGTTGCAATTCTTTTTAGCTTATAGAAAGCACCCAGCTGATGCTATGACACAGGTAGATCGACTGCCCTTGTACTTTTATGAAAGGGTCAAAAGACACATAATGGTAATCAATATGGAGGACTGACCCTATCGCCGGAGATGTGGCCAGTCAAGCCAAAATCAGTGGCCCTTGATGACCTCACTGGATTGGGACCGCGGGCCACCTCTGTTTAACACGAGGGTGTGTGTGCACACTGTGACTTTTTTGGCGATGATGTTTACACAGTAACCTCTGCTCCTCTTGCTCACACAGGTAAAACAGGACACGCAGAGGTGGTTCGCGTGGTCTATGAGCCCGAGAAAATCAACTTTGCACAGTTGCTCAAGGTATTTTGGGAAAGCCACGATCCAACACAAGGTAACATTTTATTTCATCACACACACACAATCTTAAAGGGATAGTTTGCTTTTCAAAAAAATTCTGTCATCGTTTACTCACCCTCTTGTCTTTCCAAACCTGTATGACTTTCTTTCTTCTGTGGAACACAACAAAGTTTTTTCTCCCTATGCAGTGAACGTGAATGAGGAAATATTGAGCTCGGAAAAGCACCTTAAAATAGGCCATAAGACTTTGTGTGGTATATTTCAAGTCTTATAATGAGCAACATACCAAAATATTAGGTCTGAAATCACATTAGTTTTCATTAATTCAAATATCCCATACATAAAATGTATAAATGGCTAAAATGTATTTTAAATACATAACAGCATGATCTAAAAATTATATATATTTTTGAAATTGAAAAAATATATTTAGTTTAACCCTTACATTTAGTTTAACCCTTAATACAAAATGTATTTCAAGTGTTAAGAAAACACTGTGAGAAATTTAGATAAGAAATATAAAATTTAAAACACAGTTTGGGAAAAACGCTTTTTGTATTTTGGAAAAAAAAAAAAATATTTGTATATAATGGCCAAAATATGAGGGAATATAAATTAAACTATTTATCTGTTAACTTATTGCAAATATGTATTTATGTAAATGTATTTTAAAAACCTGTATTAGGACTATATTTTTGGCCATTTTTATGTATTTTGATGTATTTAACAAAAATATTTCTGAAAATATTTTTATTTTGCCATATAGGATGCCACATGAATATGTTCCACTGAAAGATTTTAAATGAATGAATTTTAGTCTGTTCCTCAAATTTTCACAATTTTATGGCATCAGAACTTTTGCGATAATTTATTTATTTATTTTTTCAAATTTAGTAGTTTAGTCAAATATTTATTTAGTCATTTTGTAGCTCAACAGTCTCTGTCTCTATTCACTTTTATTGCATGGGATAGAGCAGCCAAGACATTCTTCTAAGTGTCTTCTTTTATGTTTCACAGAAGAAAGTAAGTCATACAGGTTTTGAGGAAATGTCAAAAATGTCCTTTTTGGGTAAACTCTCCCTTTAAGATCATATTTAGTTCATTACTAGTTGAAACCCAATACAGTACACAGTACGTTTTGTTTAACGCAGCATTAATTAAAGAAAGGCTAAGCACAAAAAAGCCATTTAACAGCCTGTAAAAAGAGCAGCTCTTTAACATAATACAATCTTAAGTTCCAGTAGTTTGAGAGGTACGAGAGGCCCATCATGAATTCACAAAGAGGAGAGGCAACAGTTTGAGTGGCTGCAATCATGACCAGAAGATTCAGATCGGAGATTAAAGTGTCTCACCAATCATTCACATTCAGTCTGATGGAGATGGCCAGTATAATGCCCTGATTGTGTCTGTGGTGATGACTAACTCTCGGCTCATTCTAATGTTCACACTGAAATCATTACAGTTTAGCTTAAGTTGAACTGCTGTTTTAAAGAACATAAAAAAAAATCTTAAAAGCTTAAGATTTTTAAAGATGCACTAAGTAATTTGAAAAACGTTTTACAGCTCAGAAATGTTTAAAATAATGTACAATCGCATGAGGTAAAGACCTCAGTCAAGTGTCCCATCCAGTACAATACGGCTTCTTCAGCATAGTTAATGCCCTCTTCCCATCCAACAAAAATATCTATGCAGAATCTATGAAGTCATATCTGGATCAAGAACAGACAAAACAGAGCTTTAATTAAAATTGCACTCTTCCCAAGAATTTCGTATCTGGTTGATTGGGAGTTTGTTTCCCAAGAGACTAAAGTACTAATAGATGCTAATTTTGGACCCACGGAAGAAGCACTCAGTGGCTGAACTGCATGATTACATCATGGTTACATGACTTAATTTAGTGCTCAGATGTCTATATAGAGTTTAAAATTGAATATAAAGGAGTAGTTAACCCAAAAAACTAAAAATTACATTTGTGTTGTAACCAGATCCTCAAACACCCTGTTTTAGCATTGACATATCACTCCATTTACTTTGATAGGAATGCGCCAGGGCAACGATGTTGGAGCGACCTATCGATCAACCATTTATGCGTATACACAGGAACAGCTTGATCAGGCATTGCACTCCAAGGACGAATATCAGAAGGTATCCCTCTACCGGCCTTTCATATCTTTCCCCTCCATATACAAACAACCCTCAGGTGATCAGTTTGTGGATCATTGGTTCAAAACTAGTTTGGCTTCAGGATCCAGATATTACATGGGACATCAAGCACCAAAAGCAAAAATGTCCTTGAAAATATTATTGACATTATAGTTTTTTGGATCTCAGCACTCTTCAGTTGTATATAATAATAATAATAATAATAATAATAATAATAATAAATGTTATAAATTATACAAAAATATAATATATGAAAAATAAATAATAATGTAATTAAAAAAATTATAATTGTATATAATTATAATTATAAAATGATATTAAACAGTTTGTTGAGTATTGGAATATTTATGTGATATGTGATAATGTATGTGTTATGTATGTATGTATACACACACACACACACACACACATATTATTTTAATAATATTTTATAACATTTTATTTTAATTTATTATTAGTAGTATCATTACTACAGTTATTGTTGTTGAGTATTGGAATATTAATGTGATAGTGTTAATTTCTTCACTTCCGCAAGGCGTTTTAAGGCAAGGCTTAGTATCGCATTTTCCCTCCTGTCCACGACCTTATCAGAACAGACCTACAATCCACTGGTTGACAACCACTGCTTTTAGAAAACAAAAGCTATTTGTATCGACGGTACCCTCATATAATGGTATGCTCACACCTCTGGTCCCCAAGCGGGCAGGTGTGGAGGATTACAGCCCTCAACGGTTCTTGCTCTGTTTGATAACCTGCGAATCCATGCCAGATGAAACAGGTTTTCTGCAAAGCAAGGAAATATAATCTTACACATGAAATAGTAATTCTGTTTGTCTCGTAGCCAGCTTGGAGAAGGGAGTCTTCAAATCCGTGCACGAGGAGGTTCAAAGCCTTTCGGCATTGAGTGTGAATGCTGTCATCTGCATTATGCATATATTTTTCTCTAATTGCAGAACAGCTCTGTTGTCGAGCCGAAAATTGAGGTTTCTTCTTGGTCTCGGTGGTGCAATGCATTACAAACCTGCATGCGGTTCACGCTAACAACCCCACCCTTTCCGTCGAAGCGAAGCCTGTTAGAACAATAGAAGCAGAGGAACTGACTGTAGTTCTTACAGGCACTAGTCTTCCTTACCGTACCCCTGTAGACTCATTTTCTTCCTTCAAAACCCTTCTCCTTCCCCTTGTGTATGATCATAGTTGTTTTTTTGGGGGCCGTTTCACTTCTCATTCCCTCAGATCAGTCAACAGTCTGAGATGAAATTAGCAGCTGTGTGTTCTGTACCTCACCGAAGTGCTCTGTTGTGCAAGAGCAGCCAGTATTCACACTCGGACACATTACGAATGGCGTCGCGTTAGACACATTTGACTATTGATGAGATGACCTTGATTGTCTCATCGTTACAGTGTCCTTTCTTGCTTTCTTGCACTTCACATCAGCTCTCGGCTGCTTTTGTGCTGATACCAAGGGTTTCTGCAGCCTCTCTTTCTACATCAAAAGAGCCCAAATGAACGGCGCAGTCACTCTTGCCTCAGCCCTCCATTTTGAACAAATGCTGAACACAATATCCAATATCTTTTCTTGTGATATGGTGCATTTGGTAACTCAGCAACAGATTCTTAAAGAAGGGATGGATCTCACTGGACAATGATGTTCGGAGATACACTCACACATGCTCACAAATGAAGTCCTCACCGTTAACAATCAAAATGCTTATTTTAGAGGCATATTAAGAAGTTTTCTTGCAAAATAGATTTAATGATTTTGAGATCAGCAACCAGGGCTCAACATAAAGGATTTTTTTCCCTGCAGGCCATCTGCACTACACAGCCACAAATATGATAAATATCTAGTTTAGCACATATAAAATATATTATAAATTCATATAAATAAAAATTAATAAATTATTTGCTGTGATACCATATGTAGATATATATACATGCATATATACATATACATACACACACACACAGGCTGTAGTGTTGGAACCCTGGGGATGAGAAAAGGGGACGCAGGCCTCAGAGCGGGGAAAGCATATGGGTGCGATTTGTTTTTTCACGCAGCACTGGCTCCAGCTGATGATGACTCCCAATGGTCTGCACCATTGGCCTCTGACATTCTGATCAGCTTCCTACTTCCAAAATCAGACACTTTTTAAAATCATATTTAGAATTATACAGAGTTTTGGTCTTAGATGCTGATTGGTTACAGCATTTTATCCCATAGATGCCACCTATTAACCTTAGCTTATGTGTTAGGGGCTATATCTGCTAGCAAATGGATTCTGCTTTATGAATTTGCAATTTTGCATAATAAAATAATGATGCACTTAATATTTTTATTCTGTTTTGTAAAAGCCTTTAGTTTCTTATTGCTTTGGCAGAGCAGCCTTTTTGCTTAGAGAATGTTTCAATGTTAATTGCTTTGTTTTCTTGCCCTGAAATTTCATGGACAAGGGTTCTGTTAATGACTGGAAATGAGAGCCACTCTATGGCCCTCTAAAATAGTTCTGTTTCATAAAAACAGGGCACGAAGAGATGTTTTTCCCCTTGGAAAATGGATAATTTTCAGTTTGGCATGTTTCATGGTTGAATTCATGTTCATAGAAAAGTGGGATACTGCAGCAATGTGGTCATTTAAGACATCCAAAAATGTTTTTTGTATTTTCTTGCTTTGGTCAAACAGAAGCAATATTGACTATATTGGATAACAGTGACATTTCCGTATCCAATATAGCCAATGTATCACATTATTTGGTGATGCAACTTGACTTGATTAGGTCAGAGGAACTTTGGAATTTGCATTGAAAAAAAGAGGTTAATTAGGCTTTTTTTTAGACATATACCATGGGATCTCTGGGAGTCCGAACATATAGCTAGCAAAGGCAATTTCAACAGGACAAGAATGAGGGTTAAATCAAGTATGTCCTGCAGTAGCCTACTCTATTCTAGCTGGTCAAATGAATAAGACAGGAGTTTATGAAGGCTGCATGCTGTCAAAGAAGATTTAGCTGCACAAGGCTCTGCATTTCTTTCTGTTCTGAAACGCCTGCAGACTCACATGCTCCCTCTACTGGCCATCTTTTTAACTACATTTCCCTTTTCTCTTTCTCTCTTACTTATTCGCTCCATCCTCCATTGTCTGCTGTCTCTCTCTCTCTCTCCACCCACTCCACCCCCTGCCGAGCCATCTGCGCTTCGGCAGGCCCTGTCTCCATGGCAACAAGGGAGGCCGCGCTGCCTCCTATTGGCCCGCTGCCCAAACAGAGAGGCTGCTAGGGGTTGAAGGTCATCTGTAGAGTGCCGCCTCACCGGTGTTCTAATCAGCTGTTGACCCCTAGCCACAATGAAATGAGTGTCAGAAGGCAAGGGGTTAATAAAGCCTGGTCTGACAGGCAGCTGGGTCCATTATGAGTGAGGGACAGGAGAGGGAGACCCGTGAGGGGGGGTTGGAGGATGCTGGAGATGAGGGACTCCGATCTTGGGTTGGGGGCCCATCTGTGTTGCGTAAGGGAAGATTTGATGTCACCATAAATCTTTTTACAAGGCTGGAAATGAAAGCTGGTTTATAGCGCCTGGTTTTAGTGTGGGGGATGTTTGGAATTTGGAGGGCTACTGTTTCTGTGGTGGGGCAACACACACACATATATATATATATATATATACTGTATATGCACACTTTTATCTTACATTTTAATTGCGAAAGGTGGATATTGTATAATTATTACAATTCTGTAGCACAAGGCTTGTAATGTCAAATTAAACTGTAAAAGCGTTAACCCTGTTACCTTTCTGAAGGCATAATTATATCCCAGAATATATTAAAATGTGTTAATTTCGCTTGACATGGCACAATGCTGTTGACTAGCACTGTCTGAGATCATTTTTTAAATCTTGCAAAAATGTAAAAATATACTTGCTTACTGGAAAATGCAGTCACTTCATAGAGTGATCCACTTGTTTTTAGCTGCTAAGGTTTTAGCGTGAGGAGTAAAATTGCCATTCTTCAGTGGATGTTTTATATCACTCCAATAAGAATGTCCAAGTGTGCAGATGTAGGCTTGGCACAGTGTACAATTTTACGCATTAAGTTGGTATTTTTAGTCTTGAACTTGTCAGCCATTTTGGATTCCACAAAAAAAAATCTAATACAGTTGCAAGCAATTAACAGAATTGTGCAGGTTTAAGAAACTGCTTTTGAAGTAGGCTATATTAAATGGATTTACTGACATAAGAATTGGGAATTTTTTTTTTTATATATATATAATGTTAAATAACACTGAAAATCCTTTTTTTTCAGTTTTCTGGAAGACTGTTGAGTTGCATTAACAGTTTTATGCATATGCATATGCATTTCACATGTTCCAGAAATCATGTCCAAAGATGAGTGCTTCATAAGATTTGAAAATATACAGTACTGACAGAAAATTTCATGCAGAAATGTAATGCTCCTTGGGGCAGACTTGTTCCCCATGAGACTCTTCTGTGATATGTAAAGCTTTTTTGCTCAAACGCAGTAGTGGGGCTGATGTTTTAGAATATTGTGAATTTAACCAACTAGTTGCTAGGCAACCATCCATTCCATCCATCCCATAATTACACAAAATGTAATTAGCCACAGACCCTTCACACATGCAAAGTTCATTGAGTTTCACCACAGGTAACTTGTTCCCCATGAGACTCTTCTGTGATATGTAAAGTCTTTAGCTCAAACGGAGTAGTGGGGCTGATGTTTTAGAATATTGTGAATTTAACCAACTAGTTGCTAGGCAACCATCCATTCCATCCATCCCATAATTACACAAAATGTAATTAGCCACAGACCCTTCACACATGCAAAGTTCATTGAGTTTCACCACAGGTATAAGACATTCAAAGCAAAGAATATTAATAATAGACCAGCACCAAAATGAGAGCAAGAGGTTTTTTTCTACTTTGCTTAGCAGATCTACAAATCTGGCTTCACTGGAAACTTGTATTACAGT